TAAAAGGGCTTGTCATCAGAATCGCCACAAGTGCAGTGATGATGCATAATTCGTCGTCTCTAGATGTACTGGAATTGCCATCGCTGTGAAGTCTAATTATAGTAGACTGACTGCCTCGAGCAGAAATCGTCAACGTATGTCGCTGCAATTCGTCAGATTACCAATCTTCAAACTGCTGACAGGGAAGGTCCTTATGACCCGTGAAGACGGTCAAATCACGCTAACTGGACTGTAAATGGAGCCTTCCTCCCACGTTGAAATGTTGTTTACGATTGTAGTTAACTTCCTGACACGTGAGCTGTGCCTGACTTCTGCACAGGACGTTGTCTCTCATGGACCAATCAGATTGCAGCATTTGATTTATCTCAGATTCCCGCGATGTGACGTCAGCGGTGTTGCAGGAATAAGATCCTTGTAAAATCTTGGTGCAGTCGTTGATTTCTCTCATCAACACTTTCGGCCTTGTCCGTAACTTGCCAGAATACCCTAGTGAACCGCATGTATAGCAGGCTGAGTGGAAAGCGAAAAGATTTAAGCGTAATACCGATGTAGGTAGACTGTTTCCCTGGCTGTTGTGACTTTTCTCTTCTTCACTGAAGATAATGCAGTGCGTCATTTTATACAGATGATCAGCTGAAGGTTTCATACTTGCTTAACGTTGATACTTGTAGACTGTGATCAGTCTCAATGAAGCGCCTAAAATTGATTGTGTTGAATACACAAAAGTTATTGTAGAGTTGCCATATTTCTTGTCTCTAGCTCTCTGAATCCTTGCAAAGTTAGATTTGCCAGAGTTGCGCTGTGATGTCTGTCTGATAACGCTGGCCAGTGTATCGATGGACTTGATCATCATGACTTCTCTGGACTCCTTCGTAACTTCTTTAGCTACGTCCACAATTTCTCCTGCAAAGATATTCTTTGCTGCTCATGGAGCTCTGCATAGTGGTTTGGTAAACTTCTCACTCCATTTACAAGATGATAGTAGACCTTGTCTTCGTAGCAATGTTAATCCCGCCGATGTAGACGCTAGGTGTTCTGACATGAACTGTTGGTCTTTCCTTTGGGTAAGTAAGGCTGAGTAGATCATCCGATCTTCTTCAGATGTAGAGTTTGCAAACTTCGCAATTAGGGTTTCGTTGATGGCCCTTGATCTGGCTAGTCCAAAGAAGGTACGTCTAGTGGTTGTGTCTGGTTTAGCTAGCTTCTTGTCCTCCACTTTATAAGTCCTGATCACGGCGTCATTGATGAGTTTATAGTTTTCATCTACTTCTGGGGCATTCATGAATGGTTCCACATGATGTAAGTGAAAATCTCTTAGCATTAAGCGGTGGAATGCTCTGACTCTGATACTTCGTTGCCTTCTTGAAGTCTGAGCTGAGGTTGTCTGGGACGTCCAGTACCGGATAATTGGGTGGCAGCGTTAGCGTGTCAAAATCGTCGTTAGACATCATGTATGTGTAAGCTTCATTATTCTCCTTAGATGGTGATGCAAGCTCCAGACCATTAGCCATCCATGATTTGATCTGTGTATCGGAGAAGATGACTCCTCCATCATCTTCCGGTTTTGACGTGTCTCGTTCCGAAGATCGTTGCCGTTGGTCCTGATCTCTAGGTGAAGATCTATGTGTAAGCCTGCGCGAAGGCACTCGTGAGTGCCTTATTGGAGATGTACTAGGTGATCTGTATCTGCGTGGTGACGACCATGAAGACCTGTTGGTGTGCGCGTAGACCTCTGGTGATTGTCTGAGTCCGAGGATGAAGATGATCTGCGATGCCTCGCGAATGCTCCTTCTCTGTAGCAGGAGTTCCTTCATAATTGTTGCTTCCTTCGTGAATGCCTTCGCAGGTGTTGTCTCGGTTGTTGTTTCCATGAGTGTCTTCACCAGTGGTCCTTCTGCGAATGCCTTCGCGAGATTCGTCAGAAGCGTTGCTGTCATCCTGGGCGTTCCCTTCACGAACATTTCCTTCACGCAGGTTGCGTTCTTCATCCCAATGAGGTGTAGACAATGTTCGTCCTTCTTGCAGACTCGTCTGCTTCTCTGCAGTCTTTTCCTGAGCGAACCTACGTTCCATCAGGTCCATCATCTGCTGGGTAAACTGCTGCATAAAGATGCCCGGGTTGAAGGTCTGCGCTGATAACTGCTGTTGTTGTACAGATGACGCTGCATCTGACAGTGCTGAAGTGTCATCTAAGGACTGCCTGTCCTCTATGGTAGTTGCAGTCTGCGCAGCTAGGCCGTCTGTCTGCGTTGTTATAGTTGCAGACGTCAGTGTAGAAGAAGACCTCGTCTTCTTTCTCGACGGTACTTCTGGGATGAGGAGCGGCGGCTCATTGTAGACGTCTCCTTCTTCCGATGGGTTGATATCTGCGGCGAAGGACCTCGACTTCTTCCATAGACGACTTGACTGTAGACTTGTCTGAAGGGCGACTTTGTCTTCGCAGCAGACGGCGTCCTGGTCTTCTTGGACTGCGACGAGGATTGTTGAGTCGAAGATGATCTTTTCCTAAGGCCGGAATCCTCATTTCTCTGCTCTGCAGACATCACCGGCAGCACACTGGAATGATGTACCTCGACAGACAACAACCCACGGTTATTAACGCATTCACCCTGTTGAGACATGACTTGTAATTGACGTCTCAATTTGTCCTTGGCACGTCTATGAACAGAATATAAATAATTACAAAATTCAATTTGAGATAAATGCTGACAAAGATTACAGCGGAGGCTGGAAGAACATATAGAAGTGCAGTTAGGACATAGTAAATGCGGATCAGCAGCCGACAATCGAAACCTGGAAGAAATGCAAGTCTTCATGAAATGTAAACAAGTTGAGACATGGACAAACGGACAAATTTAGAATAAATTTCAAACCATATTGTTGGTAAATCCTTGATAAAGCCCTTATACAGCCTAATTTAGTATAAAAGCCTAAAATTCATAGGATATATAGGGGACCAGGCGCTCTCACAACCGTCCAGTAGGGTGAAGAAGGAGAGAGTGACAAGCATGGCCGATCATGTGACCACTTTCGCGCCAAAAGATGGGCAAAAAGGGAGACAACTGGGGTGAGTGATTTTACGTCCACTTTTTGAAGGGAGCTTCAAAAGGGTATTCAAGTGTTCCTCTATAGTTCGCAAGAAGAAGAAGACAAGCAATTAAGCATGTCAGGATAAGTATAAAATATAGTCAACATGTTTAATTATTAAGCAGTAATCTGATCACTGGTCATTGTCACAATAACACTGTCAGCATGTTCAAAACATGTCAGAGAATTTATTTTGTTATTATTTCATTGAATATAATGAGTAAAACATCAACTTCATACTTATTAATCTATTTGTTACCTTATATTCATCATATGTATTACCCCACATTTGCTCAATGCATCGCATTCCCATCATAACAGACTCCTTGTGGCCCTATTATAGTCCGTTTGGGTTCAAATGAGAACAATGAATGATTAAATAACTCAAAATAGCAATAAGTGCACAATACATAAATAAGACACATGGTCCCTGAAACCTCTGTACCCAACAGGATCTGAAATCTGACGTTTTTTTATCGATCGCAGAAAAAGTTGTTTAAGAAACCATCATGTAATATTGTGCTATTTTCACGCATCACACCAAGGGGTGACAAACGGCTGGTGGAACAGTGCTGGGGTCATTTGAACTTGGCTGTGCTGAGTTGCACCTGAATGTTTTCTGGTGCTGTTCCACCACCCGTTTGTCACCCCAAGTGTGAAGGGTGAAAATAGCACAATATTACATGATGGTTTCTTAAAACAACTTTTTCCGCGATTGATAAAAAAAATGTCAGATTTCAGATCTTGTTGGGTACAGAGGTTTCAGGACCATGTGTATAGACCAACCCCCAAAATGAAAATGACAAACGTGAAGCACTCGGTCATTCAATATCTTGTGTACCCTCCTCGCACGTCCAAGACACAGGTGCACCTTGTTCTCATGCTTCTTATCGAGTTCATACAGAGAGCTTACAGAATCACATATCATTTCTCTACTAGAGCTTTGTAGAGTCCTGGTATATCCACTGGTGCTGGGTGACGTGTATACACAAGTCGACCGAGTTCATCCCAGGAATGCTTATTTGGGTTGAGGTCTGGCGAGAATGCTGGCCACTCCATCCGCCTAGACCCTGCCGCCTAAGGAATTCCATGATAATCCTGGCCCTGTGAGGCCTAGCGTTGTCGTTTTGCTGTTATGGGTCAACCATCAAAGCCATGCATAGTTTGCAGGAATGGTACTGCTACAGGAGTGGGACACTCGCCCCAATAACGCTGTCCGGTAAGATTACCTTCGACCATGTGCAGTGGAGTACGTCAAGTTGGAGTTATCCCTGCCTAAACCATCCGGCTGCCGTTACATGTCATTGAACGATGCTCCTGGATATCCTTACATTGTTAACACTGAAGTGTTCTGTCTGAAGATCTGCTGCGTTAAAGAATCTGTTACGTAACGCAGTCTTAATCATGTGCCTATCATCTCGGACTGTTGTGACTCTGGGGTGACCTGGTCAATGTGCATATTCCACGGACCCATTGGCTTGACCAGATAAAAAAAAGCCTACAGCCTGACACGTAATGACATTTCAACGGCCTGATGTGTTTTTCCATACTGTTAAGAAAGTTTGTAAAACATTCAGGTGTATATATTTCAAACAGGAACGAAAATTGTACAACTTTTAAGAAAAAGTGTTAACAATAGCTTTATGACGCTGAATATACTATGGTTGGTTAACAAGACAAACCATGTAGTGAGCAGCGACTAACAGGGTGATACATGTCACTGTATCCCTTATGTCAGATCGATGCTCGTGATGTCAATCACTGGATTGTCTGGTCAAGATGCGATTATTTACAGACAACCATCATATAGTTGGAATATTACAGTGAGCGGTGATAACAAACAAACAAATCATGCACAGTGATTCAACATTTCACGCTGTTGGTGTACCCGCCATGTTTAGGAACCAACTCACCGACAGATGACCTTCATGATGTTCGGGGAAGTGTCGGAACAGGTACTCTGACGCCACCAGTTGCAGAACTGTATCTCCTAGAAACTCAAGTCTCTGATTGTGACCACTGTCAGAGAAAAAACATTTCAGTTACCATGGTTCCAGGCTCCAAGTAGAATTAAAATATGAACTAAAGATTCTCCTCTTCTTTCTGATATAACCTCTCAAATAACTGCATTAACACACAACACCTTCATTTGGTAATTCATGAAGTCCTCCCAAAGGAGTGGTTATCTGTTATAGGGGTGGGTGGGATGGTGAACTTACAGTGTGAGAAGGTTGTAGCCCACGTTCCTCAGAGTGAAAGCCTTGGCCAGGAGACGGATGTGGGTGTAATTTACTCCAATGGACTCTTCAAATTTCAAGAGTTTCTGAAAAAGAAAAAGACATGTCTGGTCAGTGTGTGTTGCAGTGTGTGTGTTAGACTTGCAGTGCAGCGATGTCACAGTCATCTGAATTAGGGCAGTAAGAATGAAGACAGTCCTGGGATTCAAACCAGTGATCAGCAGATCCATGCACAGACAAGGGACATAACACAGTTTATGATGAAAGGTACTGAAGTCAGTGTGCCTAACAACCTGATCCAATGTGCTGGTCACCAATCCTCGTCCTGAATCCACACAGGAAAAGCAACACTCACCTGTAAGACAAAGCTGGATTCTATCCAGTGCCTGTCACCATTCGGCTCCTCTTCCTGCAGTGGATGCAAGGGGAGATCATTCCAAACACTCAACAAGTGCTCCTCCTCAAACAGGGTGCGTGCAAAGATCTCGTCCGCAAGTTCGATGCCTCCATCAATGAACAGCGCCCCTGCCAATGGAACATCAGGGAACATCAGTGAACATCAGTGAAAATCAGTGAAAACCAGTGAACACTACTGAACATCGGTGAACACTACTGAACATCGGTGAACACTACTGAACATCGGTGAACACTACTGGACATCGGTGAACACTACTGAACATCGGTGAACACTACTGAACATCGGTGAACACTACTGGACATCGGTGAACACTACTGAACATCGGTGAACACTACGAACATTGGTGAACAATACTGAACATGGGTGAACACTACTGAACACTACTGAACACCGGTGAACACTACTGAACATTGGTGAACAATACTGAACATCGGTGAACACTACTGGACATCGGTGAACACTACTGAGCATCGGTGAACACTACTGGACATCGATGAACACTACTGGACATCGATGAACACTACTGGACATCGGTGAACAATACTGAACATTGGTGAACAATACTGAACATCAGTGAACACTACTGAACATCGGTGAACAATACTGAACATTGGTGAACACTACTGGACATCGGTGAACACTATTGAACATCGGTGAACACTACTGAACATCGGTGAACAATACTGAACATAGGTGAACACTACTGGACATCGGTGAACACTACTGGACATTGGTGAACATTACTGAACATCAGTGAACAATTCTGGATATCGGTGAACACTACTGGACATCGGTGAACACTACTGGACATCGGTGAACACTACTGAACATCGGTGAACAATACTGGACATCGGTGAACACTACTGAACATCGGTGAACACTACTGAACATCGGTGAACACTACTGAACATCGGTGAACATTACTGGACATCGGTGAACACAACTGAACATAGGTGAACACTACTGAACATCGGTGAACACTACTGGACATCGGTGAACATTACTGAACATCGGTGAACACTACTGAACATAGGTGAACACTACTGAACATCGGTGAACACTACTGGACATCGGTGAACAATACTGAACATCGGTGAACACTACTGGACATCGGTGAACATTACTGAACATCAGTGAAAATTACTGAACATCGGTGAGCACTACTGGACATCAGTGAACACTACTGGACATCGGTGAACAATACTGAACATCGGTGAACACTACTGAACATTGGTGAGCACTACTGGACATCGGTGAACACTACTAAACATTAGTTAACAGTTGGTGAACATAAGTGCATCTTCGGCATGATGTGGGAATGCTTTAACCACTAACCTTCCCCAGCTTTCAAAAACTGAGAACAAATTAATTTGTTCAAAAACATTTCTTCTGCATCTGGAGAAGATGGCCTGCAACCCTTGTATAAGTAATTGATACACGTACCCATGACAGCCTCGAAGCAGTTGGCCATTGCATGGCGGAGATCGGACTCATGGCACAGGTCAGGTCCGTGTGCATACAGCATGAAGTCTTGCAGGTGGAGTTTCTGTCAACACAAGATTGTATCTACACTGATTGATAAACATTACACTTTGTTCATTGCTCAATGCCACACTCGACAGTATACTCGCTATATTAATAATAAATGCTGATATGACAAACAAGTTATGGCTTGCCCTACCACAAGCTGGGGACATAGATTTGATATATCTCACATCACCCAATAAAAACACACACTTTGTGTAACACCATGTGTGATACCATCTGCTGAATTTCTTTAACATTGGGATTTGATCATTCTACAAAGTTGTTACCTTTGCTAGAACAGCCAGATGTTGATTCTGAACAATGGCTGTTCTATAAGTTGACAAGCCTCCCTCTTCCAGCCATGGAAACATGTAGAACAGATGAACACTGAAACATGTAGAACAGATGAACACTGAACCATGTAGAACAGGTGAACATTGGAACATGTAGAACAGGTGAACACTGGAACATGTAGAACAGATGGACACTGAAACATGTAGAACAGGTGAACACTGGAACATGTAGAACAGGTGAACACTGTAACATGTAGGACAGGTGAACACTGGAACATGTAGAACAGGTGAACACTGGAACATGTAGAACAGGTGAACACTGGAACATGTAGGGCAGGTGAACACTGGAACATGTAGGACAGGTGAACACTGAAACATGTAGAACAGATGAACACTGGAACATGTAGAACAGGTGAACACTGAAACATGTAGGACAGGTGAACACTGGAACGTGTAGAACAGGTGAACACTGGAACATGTAGGACAGGTGAACACTGGCACATGTAGAACAGGTGAACACTGGAACATGTAGGACAGGTGAACACTGGAACATGTAGAACAGGTGAACACTGGAACCTGTAGGACAGGTGAACACTGGAACATGTAGAACAGGTGAACACTGGAACATGTAGGACAGGTGAACATTGGAACATGTAGGACAGGTGAACACTGAAACATGTAGAACAGATGAACACTGGAACATGTTGGACAGGTGAACCCTGAAACATGTAGAACAGGTGAACACTGGAACATGTAGAACAGGTGAACACTGGAACATGTAGGACAGGTGAACACTGGAACATGTAGGACAGGTGAACATTGGAACATGTAGAACAGGTGAACACTGGAACATGTAGAACAGGTGAACACTGGAACATGTAGGACAGGTGAACACTGGAACATGTTGGACAGGTGAACACTGGAACATGTAGGACAGGTGAACACTGGAACATGTAGGACAGGTGAACACTGGAACATGTAGAACAGGTGAACACTGGAACATGTAGAACAGGTGAACATTGGAACATGTAGGACAGGTGAACACTGGAACATGTAGGACAGGTGAACACTGGGACATGTAGAACAGGTGAACACTGGAACATGTAGAACAGGTGAACACTGGAACATGTAGGACAGGTGAACATTGGAACATGTAGGACAGGTGAACACTGAAACATGTAGAACAGATGAACACTGGAACATGTTGGACAGGTGAACCCTGAAACATGTAGAACAGGTGAACACTGGAACATGTAGAACAGGTGAACACTGGAACATGTAGGACAGGTGAACACTGGAACATGTAGGACAGGTGAACATTGGAACATGTAGAACAGGTGAACACTGGAACATGTAGAACAGGTGAACACTGGAACATGTTGGACAGGTGAACACTGGAACATGTAGGACAGGTGAACACTGGAACATGTAGAACAGGTGAACACTGGAACATGTAGAACAGGTGAACATTGGAACATGTAGGACAGGTGAACACTGGAACATGTAGGACAGGTGAACACTGGGACATGTAGAACAGGTGAACACTGGAACAGGTAGGACAGGTGAACACTGGAACATGTAGAACAGGTGAACACTGGAACATGTAGAACAGGTGAACATTGGAACATGTAGGACAGGTGAACACTGGAACATGTAGGACAGGTGAACACTGGGACATGTAGAACAGGTGAACACTGGAACATGTAGAACAGGTGAACACTGGAACATGTAGGACAGGTGAACACTGGAACATGTAGGACAGGTGAACACTGGAACATGTAGGACAGGTGAACACTGGGACATGTAGGACAGGTAAACATTGGAACATGTAGGACAGGCGATAGCAGTGTCATAATAAAGTCTTCTATTATGGATAGACAGGAGTAGTGTCTGCAGACTGACCTGGACAGGAACTCTACGACGGCATCTCCAAGGAACTCTAGCCTCTCGTTGTGTGGTATCATTGACATGGACTCCTGCTTGTTGCCCATGCGGGACATGATGTCAATTAATATGTTGATTCCTGGACACAGAACATGGAGTAAACAACCTGGGTGCTCCTCACTGTAAGCTCAGTGGTCAGATGAAATAGGGTGGACTGTGGCTTTAAAGCTGGAGGTCCCTCCCTCCCTCTCCCTCTCTCTCAGGGTAATGACAACTACCATCTCCTACATAATTTGGCATGACAGAGGATTGAACCCTATTTTTAATATTTGACAGGATCAAACTCTCTGTACGGTATCGAGTTCTGCCCTACAAAGAATGAGTATGGTTTTACGCCGCTTTTAGCAATATTCTGGCAATATCATGGCAGGCGACACCAGAAATTGGCTTCACACATTTTCACGGATGTGGGGAATCGAACCCGCGTGCCCTCGGCTACCCGATGCCCCTGTGCTACAAAGACATCACCTCTCTTCCTGGTGTGGACATAGTGTATCTTCCTGTCTCCGTACTCCACCTGCCTCATCCCGCAGTTGGCCAGCGAGTTACGGGCGTGGTCGGGGTTCGTCCCATAGTTGACACGGTATGATGTGTGGGTCAGTGCAAGCTGCAGGGGAGAAATAGTCTGTTTCAAGCATGTTTTCATTTGGTAATAATCTTAAGATTAAAACTGTGCTATACAAGACTATGTATTAGTGAGTGAGTGAGTTCAGTTTTACGCATCACTCAGCAATATTCCATTCTTTTCCAGAGAGATCGTCCTTGGGGTACATATTATGCATTTTCCGGCTGAAAAATGTCCTGTGACAGTTGTATCAATGTTTTTTGAATAAAAAGATTGTACAATAAATAAACTCTTTTATTTATTATACGGACCCTACCTCACGGAGTTACCTCCCTTAGCGCATGCGCACCAACTGGGTAGGCTCCTAGACCCGTATCATCATTCCTTCTGCTGTCACGGCCGTGAACAGACGTGTTTTGAGTAACCCATTCATGAGCCGTGCGGCTGTTAAAGAGACTATGTCTGAGACACCACCTGTATGTATGGTCTTTATTTGTCTAAAAACAAGAACAGTAAAGCTTTACAGTTGGTTGTTTCATAATTGTGACTTTGTATTAATACAAATTACGCCGTGAACTTTCCGTGGTTACGCGCGTGTTGCTCTGCCATGGCGGGAAGTTTAGCGTGCCATGTGAGTCGTAATATTGCATTATTAAAACCAACTATTACTTTCCGGTAACCTTCAATGAAGTTTTTCAATGTTTTCTACGTGTTTATATGCTGCTGGCCGCCGTTAACTAACATATTTCGCGTGTTTGTTTCAGGCCTTTTCATGCTGTTCGGTCTGTGAGGGGAGTATCCCCGGGCGACAGTCATACCTGTTGCGCGGCCTGTCTGGAGAAGACAGGCCATGAGGCTGACTCCTGCCCTATTTGTCTGGCCTTTTCCCGGGCCCAGAAGAGGCGGGCTGCCGACACCTTGTTCTATCGCTCGAAATGCGTGAGGCGGAGAGGGACCTGACGCCCAGGTTCCCCGTCTAAGTCCAAGCGTGTGTCAAAAGGGAAAAAATCCGCGGCCCTTCCCCTCTCCTGCCACTTCGAGTGGTTTTGACATGTCACTGATGGAGTCTATGTTTCAGCAGCAGATGGACTTCGATGAAGTCCTTCGTTAAGTGGAGTCGGTTGGAGGTCTCCGGCAGGAGTTCCTCACCCACTCGGACGGGGGCGGAGAGTCGAGGGGTGGGATCGCCGGGCTCGGCTCGATCCCTGGCCTTGAGGCGTCTGTAGATCCGTTGCCTCTGGCTTCTGATCCGGGCGCCTGGCTGCCTCGGGAGAGGAGGTGCTCCCAGTCCCCTCTCGGGCTCAGCGAGGGCCGTTGAGTATTCCTGGTATTCCGGTCCTGCGCACACCCGCCCCATGAGAGCGGAGGCACCAGTTCTGCCTGGCCTGCCTCCAGCGTCTCGGGACCGGGGTCCACGCACGCCGGCTGGCGCTGACGTGGAGCAGTCTGTCTGTTCTTCCCTTCCTGTGGTTCCTAGCGTTAGGCAGTCCACGGTGGGGTTAGGGTCCTCTTCACGGAGGGAGACCCAGCCTCTGACTTCGGGCTCGGGCCGAGGCAATGGAGCTTGGGGAGGTCGAGGAGCATGGCGGCGGCTTCGTTTTGCTTCGACTCTAGGGAGGTCCGGCGAGAGAATTGCCGAGGGCCTACCCCAGGCAGCGGTGCCTGCTGGTTGCGTGGACTTCGACTGAGTTCCGCTTGCCTGGCGAGGCGTTTGCCCCTAGGCAACCCTCACAGACGCAGCTCCGCATTCTGCCATCGTTGGTCTCGGACGTGGTCGATCCCCTCTTGTCTGGTGCCCGAGTAAGGTTTGACTTACCTGAACTTCGCGGCGCGGCTACCAGCTTGGGGGAGGATTCCCTGTTCGTTGTACCGATTGTTGGCGAATGTGTTTTCACTTCCGTCGCCCTGGGGAGGCTCGCTTCCTCGGAGCAGCTCCGGCTGCTTCGGCAAGGCGCCTCACTCCACCTTTTGCCCTCGGCGGCGCCCTCGCGCAGCGCATACCGACCTGAGGAGGTCTACCGGAACGCGATGCAGCAGGTGCGGGTGGTGGTCCATGAGGCCTACCTCTTCTACGGTTCAGAGGTCGGCCCTGGAGGCGGAGGGCATGCTGGCGGCGTGTCGCCGCATGTCGATGCTGCTCCGTCAGCTTTACGGAAGTGCAGGCTCACCTGCCAGCGACTCTCTTTGGCGTCTGCTGCGTCGGCGGTGATGTGCGCAGTCATGGGGATCGCGCCCGGCTGTGGCTGTCGACGTCTAGGTACTTCGGCAGCAACACAGCAGACCTTGCTGGCCCTCCTTTCCGTCTGGGGCGACCCTCTTTCCAGGGACCCAGCAGGTCATCACGGAGGCTGCCGCTGCAGCTACCTCCTTTCAAGGACTCTAAGGCCTTGTTGGAGCACCAGCGGCGTCTCACCAGCCCAGCTCCGATGCCACCTTCCTCCGGCGGGGTGCAGCCTACACCGAGTCTGCCGGCTGGCCGGCCGCTTGGTAGGTAGGCGGAGGAACAGGTCCGCCAAGGGTAGGGGCAAGGAGCAGTCCTCGACTAGCTCCCAGCCTTTTAGCGGCGCGGGAGGTCTGCCCGACCTCCCGTTAACCCATCAGGCTGCCGCTCAAGCCGTGTGTGTCACGCCCAGTCAGCTCCGCTGCTTCGGGTCTACACAGCGCTCCTACCCCATATCCCAGTGGGAGGCCGCCTCTCTCTATTCCTGCGGAATGGGAGAAGGCTACCAACAACAGCTGGTGCTGGCCACGGTCAGCATAGGCCATCTCCCACTGTGGAAGCGAGGAATCCGCCCGGCTTCACCGGGCATACGTGGCACTCGGTGCCGTCATGTCAAGCCAGGGCGGACATATTGCGCCGACGAAGTTCAGGCTCTGCTGGACAAGTCCGCAATCGGCGCATTCCACCGGAAAGGAACAGGCGGGATTTTATTCCACGTGCTTCCTCGTCGAAGAAAAAGACAGCGGGTTCCGTCCGATTCTCAACCTCAAGGGGTTGAATCGCGTGCTCGAAGTACCATCCTTCAAGATGGAACACTGCGCTTCGGTGATCTCATCTGTTCAGCCCGGCGATTGGCTCCGCGTCAATCGACCTAAAGGATCGCGATATCTGCATGTACCCATACATCCATCGTTCAAGCAGTACCTTCCGGTTCTCTTCACGGCGGGGATGTATTACCAATTCAGGGTGCTCCCCTTCGGCATATCGACTGCCCCAAGGGTGTTCACCAAGCTCATGTTAGTCCCAGCTACCCTAGCTCGCTTTCGCAAGGAAGCGTTGTTGCCCTTACCTAGACGACTGGTTGCTCGGAGCACTAACACAGCCAGCGAGTCAAGATGCTACTCACAGTGATAGACATTCTAACTTCGACTGGGGTGGATCATCAACCTCAAGAAATCCGACCTGGTACCCACCCAGGACTTGGTTTTTCTTGGGCGATTCCAAGCGAACAAGGATCTCGTTTCCTTGTCGCCCGACCGGGTCACCAGAGTTCGGAGATGGTCTCTTCATTCCTCTCCCAGCCCCAGGCACCAGCACGGACTTGGCTCCGTCTACTGGGCCATATGGCGGCTGACGATCTCTGTAGTGTGGCGGGCGCTGCTTGAGGATCGTCCCATACAGCAAGCTTTGGCTCGGCTGTGGACTCACACGGAGGATCTGGGCGCGCAGTCTCACAGTCCCAGTGGTTGACACCTCACCTTCAGTGGTGGACAAATGTCGGGAATCTCACCAGGGGTTCCCCTTGAAATCGGCGCCAGCTCTCACAGTTCAGACAGATCGTCCCTCTCACGGGCTGGGGCGTTCTGGAGCAGTCTGTCGGCTTCCGGACTCTGGTCGAAGCGAAGCTCACCTTCACATCAACGTGTTGGAACTGAGAGCTGTGCGGTTGGTATTCGAGCGCTTCAGAGAGCATGTCCGTGGCAAGGTAGTCCGTCTTCAGTTAGACAACCAGACGGCCATGTCGTACATCCTGAAGCAGGGAGGCACCGGTGTCCCCAGCTCCTCCGGAAGCGTGGGACTTTCTCCTCTGGAGCCGACCAGTGCGATTGTCAGGTACTCCCTGTTTATCTCCGGGCTGGAGAGCGTCGCGAGCAGATGCGCTCTCTGCGCGGATCCTGGCCCGCCGACGAGTGGATGCTTTCGACAGGCAGATATTCACAGTAATCTCCCAGTTATACGGGTCGCTTCGAGGTGGATCTGTTTTGCGTCGGAGGGGCGAGATCAGACACCCGTGTTCTGCTCTCGGATACGGACCCAGGGCGTTGGCTGCCCGGCGCTTCCTGCTGGATTGGTCGGGCAAAGTGCTCTGGGCGTTCCGCCATTACCACTCATTCCCCGTGTCCTTTCACAGCTGTCCACCCAGCCAGCTCGGCTACTTGTGCTACTGGCACCGCTTTGGCCCGTCACAGAGCTGGTTTCCGTAATTCTCAGGTTTCTGGCTCAGCCTCCTGTTCTATTACCTTTGGCGACCGGACATTCTCACTCAGAACGGAGCTTCACCCAAATCCACGTTCAGTGGGTGGCTTGGCCTCTGTCAGGTCTAACCTCGAGGCGCAGCGAATTCCTGCAGCAGTTGCAGACACAATTCTGGCCGCGGGATTCGACAAGCGTTCAGTATGCGAGGATAGGTGGTCCCGCTATGCTGGTGTTCAGATAAGGGGATTGCAGATCCCTTTTCTCGCGGATTTAGTCCGAGTATTGGAGTTTTTGCAAGCTCGTTTGGAAGAAGGCCTGGCGGAAGCCGACCATTAAACGGCTACTCCACCGCTATTTCCACTTTTCACCCCTGTCGATGGTGCTCTTCTGGGGCAGCACCCTCTCGTCTAGCTGGCTTTCGCTGGCTGGCGGAGCCAGTTGACCTGCTCTCAGGCCGAACCAGTCCACCTTGGGATTTGTCGATCGTGCTCGATTGGCTGTCGGGTCCCACTTTCTCACACCTATCGGCTATTTCCATTCAGTTGTTGACCTGGAAAGCTGTTTTTCTGGTGGCGGTAACATCTGGTGAAGAAAGTCCGGCGATTTACATGCTATGTCGTCCGACCGGCGCTGACTTATGTTTCACGGATCGTGTCAGTATTCGCCTCCCAGATACTTCTACCTGACCGAAGGTCGATCCACGCTTTCCATGTGACAGCTCCTATCGAACTTCCTACTCTTACCCAGCCTTCCACCGGGGACCACTCCTCTGAAGCACTCACCGTTGGATGTCCGTGAAGAGCGCTCAAAGTCTATCTCAAGCGAGCGCAGGGGGATCCGTCACGGGTACCCAGCTGTTCTGTTGTTATTGCGATGGCGGGAAGGCTGGTCTGCCAGCGAAGCAAGCAGACTTTGTCTGGCTGGCTAGTATCGTATGTATTTGTGCCGCTTATCAGGCTAAGGGCAAGCCTCCCCTGAGGGGTTGAAGGCTCGCTCGGTCAGGGCAGTAGCGCATCAAAAGCTTTGCATCGGCACTCCCATTGAAGAGATCTGCTCCGCGCAGCTATTTGGAGCCGCCAAGCACGCGTTATATACCATTATCAGCTCGATCGCATTCCCGTAATCGTTGCAAACTTTGGCCGTACTGTTCTCTCCAGTGGACAGTGTCCTGCCACCCTGACCGAGTGAGTCTTGGTTTATTGGTTTTGTTTTGGCTACTGTACAATAAGATTCCATTATTGACATGTCTGCTAATGTGAGCTCACTCAGAGAACCTGTACCCCTTCGATTCTCTGGAGTTACTGTATCGTTAGTGAGTGGTATTTTGTTTTCCCCTCGGTGCTCTCATGAAAGAAGCCACTTAGTGGAGTCGGATTGATTGATATTAAGCACTTCACGTGCAATGTCTCATTATGCTAGAGGTCGTCTTTGAGCACAAATCCTCCCTGTCAGTTCCCTCCCATAATGCCTCTCGCGAGGCTAAACTGGGTCGAGTGACAGGTGAGTGTTATGAAAGCGTCTGTTCAATTTTTTCCATGATACGATCGCTATATTTTGAGGTGTGCTTGGACAGAATTCCCTCCTCCCTGGCCTCCGGTCTTTGGGAGTCTGTGTTTATGCATAATATGTACCCCAGGGCGATCTCTCTGAAGAATTAACCAAACCTGCAGAGGTTTTCAATTCTTTGAAGAGATCCGCCCTGAGGGTAGGGCCTCCCACCTCCCATAATTCTGTTCACTGATAAGAATTCAGCAGAAGGAATGATGATAACGGGTCTAGGAGCCTACCCAGTTGGATGCGCATGCTAAGGGAGGTAACTCCGTGAGGTAGGGTCCGTATAATAAATAAAAGAGTTTATTTATTGTACAATCTTTTTATTCAAAAAACATTGATACAACTGTCACAGGACATTTTTCAGCCGGAAAATGCATAATATGTACCCCAAGGACGACTCTCTTCAAAGAATTGAAAACCTCTGCAGGTTTGGTTAAGTTATATGGCGGCAGTCTGTAAATAATTGAGTCTGGACCAGACAATCCAGTGCTCAACAGCATGAGCATCGATCTACGCAATTGGGTTCGGGTGAGGTGAAATTGGATTTTGCTCATATGACGACGTGCATGCGTGTGTGTGTGTAAGTGCGGCTGCTTGTACTAGCCCAGACTGAAGCTGGTTTTATAGTGCTAGCCCACTGAGATACCATGTCGCAGTGAAGTATGGATACCCCACTCAGACACATTATACTGACTCCGAGCCAACCAGTCCTTGTTGTACCCATTAATGCCGAGCGCCAGGCAGGGACCAACAAGTACCATATTTTAACGTCTTTTGGTATGACACGATCGGGGATCGAACCTGCGGCCTTCTGCTCTCTGGGCGGACGCTCTAACCACTACACCATGGAAGCGGTCTTGCATAATGCACTGGGGAACCGATGACATGTGTCAACCAAGTCAGCGAACCTGACAACCCTCGATCACGTTAATTAGCTTCTTATGACAAGCATGGGTTACTGAAAGATCAACTCTAACCGGATCTTCATGGGTCACTATGTCTTAGTAAGAAGGATATGATTTAGTTTCTGATATATCACCACGATTACCATCTTAAATAGGCAAACATGATGTCATCAGTCCCTGTTGATTGAGCACTATGTCACAGGTGGTTTTATGTGGTATCATTCTATGCATCAATTCACTGAGGTGATATCTCTTATTATGTTGGAAAAAATACTTTCCTACATTTTCTCACAAAAAAGATAATGATTATCGTTCATGACATTATGTTTAATGTCCTTCCAGGACTCAAACTCCAAACATACTTAGTGAGTACAGATAACATCTATTTCCTCAATGTTGGCGACCAGTGAAGATACAGGTTGGAATTGGTGCTTATCGTAAGAGGTGACTTACAGGATCGGGTGATCAGGCTCACTGACTTGGTTGACATATGTCATCATATCCCAATTGCATATCCCATCGTGTCGATCGATGCTCATGCTGTTGAGCACAGGATTGTCTAGTCCAGGCCTGATTATTTACAGACCCGCCATATGGCTGGAATATTGCTGAGTGCGGCATTAAACAACAAACCAACCAATCAATCAATGTTGGGCTACAAAGTCCCACCTGTAGGAGTCCCCTGTCTTTGAATCTATATGCAGATGATCCTCCAAGGCGCCCAGGCATCGGTGGAACCTCAGGTGACAGAACAGGACCGATAGCAACATGGCGTGCTGAAACAGCATGGGGAAACAGCAATACATTAAGCACGGTCAGCAGGAATATGGAATTAGTAATCCTGTTTCTTGTGGATTGGTTTTCTTATTTCATCTATTCGTAGAAGAATAACAGTCACAAAATTACTAAAACCAAAGAATCGAGGCTTCATATGGGAGGAATCCCAAAACTGATGCATGTCTCATTAACAACTTACTTGCCAGATGTTGGATCTGATGCCAACCTGTTAACAACTTACTTGCCAGATGTTGGATCTGATGCCAAGCTGTTAACAACTTACTTGCCAGATGTTGGATCTGATGCCAACCTGTTAAAGGTCACATAAACCCTAGGGGTTAAAAATACATAAATCACTAACTGGCATCGTTATAAATGAAACCCCGTCATTAAAACTACTCATTTCGACCTTTAATTGACTTAAATCGACCTTTTTGACAACAGTGCACAATTCTCACCCGCGAACGAAATTTCAACCAATCAGATCGGCGCGCCTCTGTGACGTCATATGAGGAATAGCTTTGAGAGCCGATGCAGAATTCATCTACATTTTAGGGGGTAAATGATCGTGTTTACAGGCTTGTATAAACCTGAAATCGTGACAATTGTTGTTGAAAATGAAAGCTATATGTTCTCACAATCTACTGTCATTTAATTTTGTCTCCTGCTTTGCCTAGTTTCCGAGTTACAACTTGTTGTCATAGACGATTCTGTCAAAATCGATTGGTGTCGTTAGGCCCTATTTGTATAATGACTGATCCAAATTGATCCCATTTCTGTGTTGTTTTACCTCGATATTTAATCATGTCATGTAAAAATTTGTTTGTTTTCTCAAAACAGTGTCATTATAAGTTTTCACATGCAATACAGCAATTAATACTCCCTCTTTGTAACCCGTGTTAGGTGGTACAAACCTACACATGTTATTTGTCATCATTCACTTGATGGTCAGTTAATGAATTTATAACAGGTATAATTAGTGGTAACACACTTAGATTACCCGACAAAGGTTCCCATTTGGCATTTCTTATGTCTGGAGTAAATATTCAACATTATAAACATCGATCAAAGGATTAACCGATAACACGCTGATTGATTAATTACTTTTATCTTACACAGCGGAATTGTCAAAAGGTAGTGTTTATGTATGTAGATTTACTAATGTATACTGATTTACCCCCTCTGTAATTAAGCCGTTGTCTCGCGTAAAACAACGTCCTTCTTTCAAAGGATTAACCGCCAATACATTGATTGATTGCCCATTATTGGCTAACTAAATTACTGTTTTAAAGAAAGGCGGACATTATGCAATTAGTTGCCAGGTGTGCTATCTTGGGTGACCAATGAGACTATACACCAATACCTGAAAAGATTTATCACTTTTTCGTATATTAAACTGTTAAAAGACACATCATTTGGAACAGTTTTGTGGATATTGATGGATACATTCCTCGAACAAGGTAATGGCCTGATATCGTTCCTATAACTTTAATCTGTTTTAATTTTAATATTTGCATTTTGTTTTTATTCATTTGTCGTAGCATTCAACAGAATCATTGTTTTCGCCGCGGAAGTGTAATGAGACAGACAACATGCACTAGGGTGTGTGATGCGAATTATGATTCACATTGGCAAACTATAAAATGTCTAGATACTACAGTTCTGTTATAAATTCACTATAAGTATCAGCAGATCGTCTTTTTTATTTAGTTTCAAAATGCATACAAGTGTGATAATAAACTAATTAGGATTATAAGACCAAATATAAAGACGCATTACTGACTAGTATCTACATACTGGTGAGTGGACATTAACCATGTGAATGTAGCAAGAAATTTATCGCCAAGCAGTATTGTGACTTCGACCCCACCTCGCTTCGTGGAAGAAATCGTTATGTTATAAGTTGTGTCATGCAAAATCCGTTTGGTTATGATTCCAATACATATTTAACAACGAGTAGAAAGTAGTCTTGATTTTCTAACTTGATGAAAACAAACTATAATCTCATTAATTCTAACAGATTTTTTTTTTTTTTAAAATGATGCCACTGTCATGAACATCCGCCAGTCTGAGGATAAATGGTATTTGGGTTTGTTTTCACCGAAGTTACAAAATCACAACTACTTTCTACTGGTAGTAAAATATGTATTTTATTGATGGCCAATAGGATTTTGCATGACATAGCTTATATCATAACAATTTCTCTCGTGGCAGCTTAGGTGGGTGTCAATATAATACTACTTACAATATTATTGTTACCGACCACAACCTCACTTCCGAGGAAGAAATCGTTATGTTACAAGTTGTGTCATAGAAAATCTTTATGGTCATCAATCATATGCATATTTTACTACAACTAGTAAGTAGTTTTGATTCTTTAACTTCCGTGAAGCGATCTGAACACAAGTAAGATATCGCTTCAGGCTTCCACAACGCCAAGACTCACAAACATAACCCATTTAGCACGGAACTGTGGGTCCTGTGGAAATCTGTGCATGGGGACACCATCATCCGACCCTAGGAGCAATTGACTACAAAGCAACGATTCGGCATGTCGTGGTTGATGTCGAAATCATCAAAATGATGAGCGTGCTACACATTTTCTATACAACTAACTGAAAATCGTTCCTCATATGACGTCACTGCAGTGCTCTGGCGACAGAGTTACGTAACCTGTCTGTGGTTTCGTTGGCGGGCGAGAGGGAAGCAGGCGACTTTTTGGCCACTTTTAATCGCTCGGTATTAATTAACCACAAGTTTTTAAAGAATAAATTTGGTGTTCCGCATAAGACTAACCACAAATCTTTCATATGTAATGGTTAAAAGAGTAACAAAAAACAAAGTTTAGTGGTTCTTTAACAACTTACTTGCCAGATGTTGGATCTGATGCCAACCTGTTAACAACTTACTTGCCAGATATTGGATCTGATGCCAACCTGTTAACAACTTACTTGCCAGATGTTGGATCTGATTCCAACCTGTTAACAACTTACTTGACAGATATTGGATCTGATGCCAAGTTGTTAACAACTTACTTGACAGATATTGGATCTGATGCCAAGCTGTTAACAACTTACTTGCCAGATGTTGGATCTGATGCCAACATGTTAACAACTTACTTGACAGATGTTGGATCTGATGCCAACCTGTTAACAACTTACTTGACAGATGTTGGATCTGATGCCAACCTGTTAACAACTTACTTGACAGATATTGGATCTGATGCCAACCTGTTAACAACTTACTTGACAGATGTTGGATCTGATGCCAACCTGTTAACAACTTACTTGACAGATGTTGGATCTGATGCCAACCTGTTAACAACTTACTTGACAGATATTGGATCTGATGCCAACCTGTTAACAACTTACTTGATATTGTTGATCTGATGCCAACCTGTTAACAACTTACTTGACAGATGTTGGATCTGATGCCAACCTGTTAACAACTTACTTGACAGATATTGGATCTGATGCCAACCTGTTAACAACTTACTTGCCAGATGTTGGATCTGATGCCAAACTGTTAACAACTTACTTGCCAGATGTTGGATCTGATGCCAACCTGTTAACAACTTACTTGACAGATGTTGGATCTGATGCCAACCTGTTAACAACTTACTTGACAGATGTTGGATCTGATGCCAACCTGTTAACAACTTACTTGACAGATGTTGGATCTGATGCCAACCTGTTAACAACTTACTTGACAGATGTTGGATCTGATGCCAACCTGTTAACAACTTTATTTGCCAGATGTTGGATCTGATGCCAACCTGTTAACAACTTACTTGACAGATATTGGATCTGATGCCAACCTGTTAACAACTTACTTGCCAGATGTTGGATCTGATTCCAACATGTTAACAACTTACTTGACAGATATTGGATCTGATGCCAACCTGTTAACAACTTACTTGACAGATGTTGGATCTGATGCCAACCTGTTAACAACTTACTTGACAGATGTTGGATCTGATGCCAACCTGTTAACAACTTACTTGCCAGATGTTGGATCTGATGCCAACCTGTTAACAACTTACTTGCCAGATGTTGGATCTGATGCCAACCTGTTAACAACTTACTTGCCAACCTGTTAGATATTGTGTGATTGATGCCAACAACTGTTAACAACTTACTTGCCAGATGTTGGATCTGATGCCAACCTGTTAACAACTTACTTGCCAGATGTTGGATCTGATGCCAACCTGTTAACAACTTACTTGCCAGATGTTGGATCTGATGCCAATCCATTAACAACTTACTTGACAGATATTGGATCTGATGCCAAGCTGTTAACAACTTACTTGCCAGATGTTGGATCTGATTCCAACACGTTAACAATTTACTTGACAGATGTTGGATCTGATTCCTTCCTGTCAACAACATACCTGACAGACGTCAGATCGAACCCCTGTCCTGATGAACCCCTCACTGCTGATCTCGACTGTCACTTCACGCTTCATTGTGCTGGACAACATATATTGTTAATAAAAAACATGATCCTCATATTTCAAAGTGCTTCTTATTTCGATTGTCTGTTGTTTGAGTGAGTGAGTGAGTTTAGTTTTACGCCACACTCCGGCTCCGGCTGTAGAACTCTGTCTAACACAAAGTTCATTTCAGATTTAGAGTGAGTGAGTGAGCTTAGTTTTACTGCACTCAAATATTCCAAATATGACGGTGGTCTGTAATTAAATAATCGTCTGGACCAGACAATCGTGATCATCCAGCATGAGCATGATCTGCTAATCAGGAATCGATGACATGTCAACCAAGTCAGCCCTGACCACATGATCCACAAGCCTCTTATGAAGCACATGCCAATTCTAACCCGGATCTCCACGGTCTGTTGTTTAAGACCAACTCTCAGCAATATTTCACTGCATGACTGCAGCTACTGTAAACATGGTAAATCCAGTCAATGATATTGTGAGCTAGGATCAACACAGTTGGGGGATTTCTAGTGATCATCAAGGCTACTGGGTCATTATCCAATTACATGCGTTTTTAGTGATTCTCAAATCTGATTGGTCAGTTGAAACAACGACAACCTACTTGAGGACGTCGGCATGGATGACTCACCTCTTCATCCTCAGCTCCTGCAGCTGCTGCACCTTCAGCTCCAGCTTCAGTTTGTCGTTGGCTGTCACCTTCGGCTTTGAGTTGAGCAGGTGCTTGTACTTCACATACTGCTTCCATGCCTTCTGGTAGCTGCAGAGAGGGAGTCAATGGAGTAGAGAGTCGCATTTGGCAAATACAAACAGCACTGTGTCAAGATAAACTTATGTTGCCTCAAAGTTTTAGCGTGATCCCTGGTAAAATATATTAAGTCATAGCATATCTCCATTCTACCTGATAATTACCACAGGACTCATTTGCTGCCCTAGCTTTGGTTATATGTCATCAGCATCTTCCTTGTTGTTGTACCAATAACTTAATACAGAATTTCTCTCATCGTCTTGTAATTGATAAGCAATCAAACTGTCTCCTTGAATGAGATTCTGGAATAATTTACAAGTTTTTTAAATACAAACAAGGACTGCTGTCATCCAAGACCCTGAGTCAGATCCATTATTGCCTTCTATGACAAGCAAAGGTTTCTGGGAACCAGTTGAACCCTAGAGGTCCCAAGCTAAGGTTTCTGGCAACAGGTTAACCCAGGAGCTACCAATCAAAGGTTTCTGGAAACTAATTGAACCCAGGAGCTCCCAAGCTAAGGTTTCTGGGAACAGGTTAACCCAGGAGCTACCAATCAAAGGTTTCTGGAAACTAATTGAACCCAGGAGCTCCCAAGCTAAGGTTTCTGGGAACAGGTTAACCCAGGAGCTACAGGTTAACCCAGGAGCTACCAATCAAAGGTTTCTGGAAACTAATTGAACCCAGGAGCTCCCAAGCTAAGGTTTCTGAGAACAGGTTAACACACGAGACCCCAATCAAAGGTTTCTGAGAACAGGTTAACCCAGGAGCTCCCAATCAAAGATTTCTGGGAACAGGTTAACCCAGGAGCTACCAGTCAAAGGTTTCTGGGAACAGGTTAACCCAGGAGCTCCCAATCAAAGGTTTCTGGGAACAGGTTAACCCAGGAGCTACCAATTAAAGGTTTCTGATAATAGGATAACCCAGGAGCTACCAGTCAAAGGTTTCTGATAATAGGATAACCCAGGAGCTACTAGTCAAAGGTTTCTGGGAACAGGTTAACCCAGGAGCTACCAATGAAAGGTTTCTGGGAACAGGTTAACCCAGGAGCTACCAGTCAAAGGTTTCTGATAATAGGTTAACCCAGGAGCTACCAATCAAAGGTTTCTGGGAACAGTTTAACCTGGTGAAGGGACATCTCCCTTTGATTACAGTGGGAAAAGCCAGGCTACTTACGCTGGGTCTCCAGCGTAGCTGAGCTGTGCAGGTCTCACCCCGAAGTGGATGATGAGAGGGTACTTGATGACATCATTCTCCTGCTGCTGACGATCCAGCTGGTCGATACGTATTGAGCTTGGCTTCTGTGAACACCATGAGAGAACCATTGGTTCAGACAATGAATAGCATCACTGGTTGTGCTGCAGAGATGCCAACCCTGAATCAGGTAAAAGTGGAGTCATGCCTTGCTTAAAGCAATTCCGAGCCGGAGTTGGGGTGGCGTGAGGAGAGAGGCTCGGGCCTTTGGCGTTGGGGGACTATGAAAATCTTTAGAGTTAACCTGTAAATATGCAATTTCTGGCCATACTTAACCAGATAGTACTTAATTCAAATGGACATATTTAGATGGCTATTTACTAAACTTTTTTCAAACATTCTAAATTTATAAACATATTTGTATTTTCTAAAAAATCAGAGTTTTTTATGGACAAATCGGAGAGTGGATTTGTATTTGAAAATCGGAGTAACTCCTTCAAATCCTTCACTTTGCCATGATATGTCACAATCACTCACCTTGCCATGATATGTTACAATCACTCACCTTGCCAGGATATGTCACAATCACCCACCTTGCCAGGATATGTCACAATCACTCACCTTGCCATGATATGTCACAATCATTCACCTTGCCAGGATATGTCACAATCACTCACCTTGCCAGGATATGTCACAATCACTCACCTTGCCAGGATATGTCACAATCACTCACCTTGCCAGGATATGTCACAATCACTCACCTTGCCAGGATATGTCACAATCACTTACCTTGCCAGGATATGTCACAATCACTTACCTTGCCAGGATATACAATGTCACAATCATCCCCACAATCACTTGCTTTCCAGACTTCATCCACCATATTCTGCCACTCGTGGTTGGAGAACTTGAGGATGTGGGCAAGTTCTGTCTCCTCCAGCAGAGGTTTGGAGCTCTGCAGCAAGAACCCAAGCACCTCGTTCATCGACAGCAGCTCCTTGCCATTATCTGGGGACAGAACAGGGGTCTTCACGTGTCTATGTGTCTATATCAGTGAGGCAAATGTGATTTTAAACATAAATTCTTAAAAACTCCTTCTAGAAATATTTTAATGTTTGAGTGAGTGAATTTAGTTTTACGGTGGGGATTTAATATTTGAATACATAAGAACGTCACTGTACATTACAAACTTCATCTAGCACTGAGCTCCAATTGCCATGATACTTTTTAAACCATTTGTAGATTCTGGTTTAGAATTGGTCTATGCTTGTCCTGAGGAGTGAGTGAGTGAGTGAGTTTAGTTTTATGCCGCTGTTAGCAATATTCCAACAATATCACGTTGGGGAACACCAGAAATGGGCTTCACACATTGTACCCATGTGGTGAATCGAACCCGGGTTTTCGGCAAGACGATCGTACACTTTAACCACTAGGCTACCCCTCCTGTCCTGAGGAGCCAAATGTGGATGAGGTGGTCAGCCTCTATGACTTTGGTAATTAGCTGTCACTGTTGACTTGTTGGAAGTTGACCATGACATCAACCAGTAGTACTGGTATGTTTGGTCAAGTTGTCAAGACTCTGTGATAGAGATGGAGCATTGCTGAGTGTTGCATAAAACAACATTCACGTAGATAAACAGTGAACCAATAACAAACCAAATATTTGTGATGCTACGGTGAAAGATCAAAGGCACCGACAGTACTTTATCAGACGATAATGTGCATTTTTTGTATTATGTCACAATGTATTGGCGTCACTGCGCCATTCTAGTCTGCCTCCTTGTAATTGAACACTTTTGTATTATGTCATAATGTGACTGATGTCACGATGCATGTCAGTTGTCATCGCCTTGTACAACCTCCTACAGTAAACTACTCCGCTGCATCCCGTTACTTGGTTTGCAGTTGCTTCACGCAGTTAACATCACTGGTCTCAGCCCTGAACTATTTTAACGTTAAATCACTCGGACTCAAGCGTCCTCGTGGTAGAGCGAACTGTATTTCTTAAATACTGTCTGTTCTTGTCAACAGGAGTCGGTGCTGCCTGCTGACTTCCAGTTGATGTCGACAGTAAGAACTCACCTGGCAGAGATCTGGCGAATCTGGGCATGAGATGAAAGATGTTGCAGGAGTCGGTGCTGCCTGCCGACTTCCAGTTGATGTCGACAGAAAGAACTCACCTGGCAGAGATCTCGTGAATCTGGGCATGAGATGAAAGATGTTGCAGGAGTCGGTGCTGCCTGCTGACCTCCAGTCGATGTCGACAGAAAGAACTCACCTGGCAGAGATCTGGCGAATCTGGGCATGAGATGAAAGATGTTGCAGGAGTTGGTGCTGCCTGCCGACTTCCAGTTGATGTCGACAGTAAGAACTCACCTGGCAGAGATCTGGCGAATCTGGGCATGAGATGAAAGATGTAACAGGAGTCAGTGCTGCCTGCTGACTTCCAGTCGATGTCGACAGTAAGAACTCACCTGGTAGAGATCTCGTGAATCTGGGCATGAGATGAAAGATGTTGCAGGAGTCGGTGCTGCCTGCCGACTTCCAGTTGATGTCGACAGTAAGGACTCACCTGGCAGAGATCTCGTGAATCTGGGCATGAGATGAAAGATGTTGCAGGAGTCGGTGCTGCCTGCCGACTTCCAGTTGATGTCGACAGTAAGGACTCACCTGGCAGAGATCTCGTGAATCTGGGCATGAGATGAAAGATGTTGCAGGAGTCGGTGCTGCCTGCCCATCGACTTCCAGTTGATAATGCGACAGTAAAGAACTCACCTGGCAGAGATCTCCGTGAATCTGGGCATAAGATGAAAGATGTTGCAGGAGTCGGTGCTGCCTGCCGACTTCCAGTTGATGTCGACAGTAAGAACTCACCTGGCAGAGATCTGGCGAATCTGGGCATGAGATGAAAGATGTTGCAGGAGTCGGTGCTGCCTGCTGACTTCCAGTTGATGTCGACAGTAAGAACTCACCTGGCAGAGATCTGGCGAATCTGGGCATGAGATGAAAGATGTTGCAGGAGTCGGGTGCTGCCTGCCGACTTCCAGTTGATGTGCGACAGTAAGAACTCACCTGGCAGAGATCTGGCCAGTAATCTGGGCATGAGATGAAAGATGTTGACAGGAAGTCGGTGCTGCCTGCGGAGCTTACAGTCGATGTCAACAGTAAGAACTCACCTGGCAGAGATCTGGCGAATCTGGGCATGAGATGAAAGATGTTGCAGGAGTCAGTGCTGCCTGCTGACTTCCAGTGGATGTCGACAGTAAGAACTCACCTGGCAGAGATCTGGCGAATCTGGGCATGAGATGAAAGATGTTGCAGGAGTCGGTGCTGCCTGCCGACTTACAGTCGATGTCGACAGTAACAACTCACCTGGCAGAGATCTGGCGAATCTGGGCATGAGATGAAAGATGTTGCAGGAGTCGGTGCTGCCTGCCGACTTCCAGTCGATGTCCACCAGCTCCAGCAGCTCAGAGAACAGGAAGTCATTGAACAAGTCGAGGCTGCGGACCGTGAAATTCTGAAAAGAATGAAGTATTGCTCTTAGATTCCAGAGCTGATTCTAAAACCAAGAATGAACATAGGTAGAGTTTTTTAGTGAGTAGTAGCTTCTGTTTCATTATTTTCTGGATTTGAGTGAGTGAGTGAGTGAGTGCGCGAGTATGGTTTTAAGCTGTTTTTAGAAAGATTTCAGCAATATCACAGCGTAAAACTCAACTCACTCACTCACTCGAGAAAAAAGACATAGGCCACTGATTTGGTTCAGTTTGGAAACCAGAAAGACATATTTATTTTCGGAGTTGATAATTAGTCCAATGGTGACACATCCATGTGTACTCCTCACCTCCGGTATCTGTTCCTCGAAGAAGTGTATAGTGTACTCTATGTTGAACCGAATCACTTTACAAGGAGGAATCTGTAACAACATGCATACAATATGAACATATTGATAAGAGCTAACGACCCACAAGGAAGTGCAGGTTATCTGACAGGAGGAAGCCCAGCGTTTGGCAAGGGACACATCCATACTTCTCATTTTCAAACAGATAATTCCTAATATCATTGTCCATCATCGTGGTGGGGGAAAGAGAAATGAGCATGTCATGAATCACAAGGATAATGTGATATTGTGGCGGTCAGGTGTTAGTTTTATATCATCAGCTGTGAGGTCGAACTTCATTGTACTAAAGATAACCAAACTTGGGTTGGGTTTTCACAAGGCTCCAGATAATTTTTCAAAGTCAGGAGTATGTACTCCTTATTTGTTCAATATAGGAGTACCGGAAAACCTTAAAGAGAACATTTAGAGTACTGAATGGAAATTAATGGAGTATTAGTAACCTTGTGTTTCGTTTCATATATGCACCACAACATTGCTACTCTTGTGTAAACAGGTCAATGAACAATAAAACAATACCTTTTCAGATAAATCGTCTGTTAGTGATTCTAAGACCGTACACCATTGCTATGGTCGCATTATCTGCTGCGTTTTCTAAAAATTCCTACCGTATCGTGCATTTGTTTTATACATACATACGCCAATACGGCCCTTGTCTGGAGCCCTGGTTTTCAGTATTAAAGATTGCTTGCAATAACAAGGCCTAATGTTCTCTTAATTTTGCCACACTCCAGGGTTGGTGCTGGACTCCTTACTGTTGGAGTCACCTAGACTCACTGGCTGCCTTACAGGGAGTCATCTTGACTCACTCTCTGCCTTACAGGGAGTCATCTTGACTCACTCGGTGCCTTACAGGGAGTCACCTTGACTCACTCTCTGCCTTACAGGGAGTCATCTTGACTCACTCTCTGGCTTACAGGGAGTCACCTTGACTCACTCTCTGCCTTACAGGGAGTCACCTTGACTCACTCTCTGGCTTACAGGGAGTCACCTTGACTCACTCTCTGCCTAACAGGGAGTCATCTTGACTCACTCTCTGCCTTACAGGGAGTCACCTTGACACACTCTCTGCTTTACAGGGTGTCACCTTGACTCACTCTCTGCTTTACAGGGTGTCACCTTTACTCACTCTCTGCATTACAGGAAGTCACCTTGACACACTCTCTGCCTTACAGGGCATCACCTTGACTCACTCTCTGCCTTACAGGGTGTCACCTTGACTCACTCGGTGCCTTACAGGGAGTCACCTTCACTTACTGGGTGCCTTACAGGGAGTCACCTTGACTCACTCTCTGCCTTACAGGAAGTCACCTTGACACACTCTGCCTTACAGGGCATCACCTTGACTCACTCTCTGCCTTACAGGAAGTCACCTTGACTCACTGGGTGCCTTACAGGGAGTCACCTTCACTTACTGGGTGCCTTACAGGGAGTCACCTTGACTCACTCCCTGCCTTACAGGAAGTCACCTTGACTCACTCTCTGCCTTACAGGGTTTCACCTTGACTCACTCCCTGCCTAACAAGGAGTCACCTTGACTCATTCTCTGCTTTACAAGGAGTCATATACATATAATTGAGGGTCATTTTGAAAATAGAAAAGAATTTATGTTAGAAAATTAATTCACTGATTCAGGAGCCATTAACGATCGATCATGCCATGCCAATATTAGGCCGTCGGCTGTGGCTGGAAAAGTGGCTAGAAATTTACTTTCGTTCCCGCCCCCATGGAAGTACTTTTATAAAGTTGAAATATGTTCTTGAAACTGTATTTAGCTATGAGCCAAAAAGTTCCCTAGTCAATTCCTGGAGAATCAAAAGTTATGGCCCCTCAAAGATGACCCCCTTTATCGCACAAGTTGTAGTCTTTTAGCGCTATCACATAGTACATCTGAGGCTCCAACACACCAATCCATGATTTGTTCTTTCAAATATGTGGGAGCTGGGGGATTTGTCATCTTCTAATGACTCTTGTTAAATATTGAATACGATTCGGAATCCTTTATAGATTCATCGAGATCATTCCATTCTACAATAGCAGACGGCAAGAAAGATTGTTTATATAATTCTGTATGGAAATGAGGAACTTGAATATTGTCAGAGTGATGGCCCGTACGAGGTATGAGCTCCAATAAATATTCGGGCGTCAAATTTGAATTCAGTTTATAAAACAAGTTCATTTTATGATTGTACCGTCTTATGGCTAATGCAGTGAACCAAGTTTCACTATATATTTTGTTGATGAACTGTACCTTTACAGCTGCACAAATAGTTCTCAGCGCTTCTAAATGAAGTTTTTCAAGAAGGTACTCCTGTGATTTGGAACAACCATTCCAAATGTGATCGTAGTAATCAAAGATTGGAAGAATAAAGGAACTATACAAAGTCTTTAGACTTTTACATGTTAATCGGTATTCAAGACTATTTAGGCAGTTGATCATCGGACTGACTGTTCTGAAATGCCACCAACTATCCTTTTGAAAAGTTAAACCAAGATGTATGTGATTTTCGACTTCTGCAATGATTTGACTATTCATGGTTAAATTTGGTAGTAAGGTTCAGTTCGTTTCCTTGTAAACAGGATGGTTTCAGATTTTTCAGAAAAAATTATCTCAAGATCATTATTTAACATGTTGTAGGCTTCGTTAAGATTGTCTTTAATTGCATATAATGAAGTATCGCCAACAAATGATTTTATGTTGCATTCTATATCATTAACAATATCATTGATAAATACTAAAATCAAGAGAGGTCCCAGGGCTCGATTTAGTGCTTTGTTACTTGCACTGGTGAGACCCAATATTACAAAATACAACCTAGCTATGAGTCTATCTTGCACAAGGTGTAAGTGAATTGTTGAGAAATAAATCAACAATAAATCTAACATATGCATAAATATGCCAGCCCATGTTTCTTCTAAACTTTGAATAGCTATGGCAATGAAACATTGCTATTCATAAACACGTCTCGGCTATGACAGCTCTTGTAAACAGGGATCAGCTGTGTCTCAGTGTTGCTATGGTTTCATGGATACTACATCACTGATTAAGGTTTATGTGCACCGAAACATTTTAACACCCTACGTTGCAACTGGAATTTGGCAGGTGCAACTAGGTCTTTATCTTAGGTTGCACCTGGTGCAAGTAGGTTAACATCTCTTAAATCTTGCCCTGGGTCCTAATACAGATCCCTGTGGAACTCCGGCTAACACAAAGTTCATTTCAGATTTAGAGTGAGTGAGTTTAGTTTTACGATGCACTCAGCAATCTTCCAGCTATATGGCGGTGGTCTGTAAATAATCGAGTGATCAACATCATAAGCATCGATCTGCGCAATTGTGAACCGATGACATGTGTCAAAGAAGCCAGCGACCACCTGATCCCGTTAGTCGCTCTTACGACAAACATGGGTTACTGAAGGTTCATTCTAACTCGGACCTTCACAGGTTTTCAGATTTAGAACCATTTATAACTGTATATTCTGCTTCCATTGTGGATGGTTCTGGCTCACCTTTTCTCATTAAATTAACCCTTGAAATTCGTGGTCTGTCCGTGAATTGCCTGTAACATGTCTCATGATATCCTGTATTCATTGAAAAATCTTTAATGTTTTTACTTAGATAGCCCGAACTTTCACACACGTTGGCTACAGACCGTTGGAATTTGTTACTCGTTTTCTGCCACTCAGTGCAACATTGTTTAAATTTCTCCTACCTCGTGCTTGTTAAATTATTTTCTGCCTCCTTTGCTACATTTTCTAAGCACATGAAACTCTATGATGACTATATTTGCCATGATCGTTCACTGTCAACATGTTGTTACTGGACGCAGCCATCTTGAACAGTATCGGTTAAAATGGATTTCAAGCATTCTGATTGGTTGAAATCACGACTGATATATATACCTTTTATTCTTAGTTTTAGTACTACTTTCTGAGTGTTAAAGCTTAGGGAACTTTTTTTGAGACCATGTTTAGGGATGACTTTCATCTGTAAATGATCAAAAAACTTCCATGATAGCAGGAATGGGAATGAAACAATCTGAGACCACAGCCGACAGCCTAAATGTGATCTAGCATTATGACTAAAAATTAAATGTCTGTTTGAATCCATATATTCAAGTATTATGATGGCTTAAAGTATGGACTTGAAAAGATAGAGCTTACTGGATGTAAATTACAGAATATATTAATGTCAAATTTTTATTTTCAACTATTTGTATCAATATCCAAGAGTCAGAGCGTTTCTATACTTTTAAAAAAGTAGAGGAATCTGACGTTTCAATTTGGATAGAAAGTATTAGCGTTAACAAACTTTTCATAGACAGACATCTTATGAACGCATACCACCATTTCTCTTTATGACCACCTCAAAACACAACACATGTGATGCACGTGTGCACAACGCATAGTAAACCCTGGCATACATGCATGGGATGTCATGCGATTTGGCGGTTTTCAAGAAGGTTGATAAATCACTGTAGACCATTAATTTTGACAATCATCTTGCATCCCACAGTTGTAAATGTTAGTTTCTAGACGTATTTTTGTCTGAAAATAAAAATTGTACACGTTCAAATTTCACCAATCATCTTTCAAGAGCGATCACTGTACAAACAACTATGGTCATAAGGAAGTGCAAGTGGTGATGCACTCTCAAAACATTCATTATTATCATATCAACATTGATTGACTCTGATAGAGCTCCCAATTTTTTCAATCGTATATTAAAAATGAAGTTCCCCTACTTAAGATCATGAAAATGTAATTTTTAGAGTAAAATTGATATTTTATACTTATCCTGACTCATGCTCTTTTTGCTTGTCTTCTTCTTCTTGCGAACATAGTGGAACACTTGTATCTCCCTAATTGAAGCTCCCTTCAATGTAAAATCACTAATTAGTACTCAGCACGAGTTACCTCCCTTCCACAAGCTCGGGAACGAGGGCGCCACCTCCACCCATGTGCCTCACTCTCTCCTCATATACTGAGCCCAACATTTGAATTTACAGGGAAATCCAA